CATTATAATAGTCCAGATTCTCATGTTGGAAGGGCTTTTAAAATGAGAAAAGAAATTCCAAATTCTATTGTGTTGGATCAGGTACTAGTATAAAATATAGAGTTCTACTAGAATTTAAAAATCATAACTCAAAGAAAAGTTGACGAATACCCATAAAATTTTGTGTGGATATCCTCAATAGTCTTAACTATTTTCTATTAAAATTTCAGAATTTTCTGTTAATTATTTCGAAAGTTATGACCTAAAATATGACTAAATGTCGAAATTTTGCATTAATACATATTCTGATATTATCGACTATAATTTCTGACATAACAAATCAGAAATTCTGAAATTTTTATAGAAGTTAGCTAGTATTGTTGAGGATATTTCTACAAAATTTTTCTGAAAAGATATTTTTCTTTGACAATTATATAACTGCTAAAGTGTGTTAGTTAAACAGTGATTTTAGGTTATCTTGTGTAGAAACCTCTTAAACCCTTTAAATTTCCCAAAAAAAAGAATTTTCACATTTTCTAGTACAAAAACTGTACAAATCCATTGGCTCATTATGAAAGTACAGCAGAAGAAATTTTAGATGCTTTGGATGGGAAAGTAGATATGGTTGTTATTGGTGTAGGTACTGGAGGTTCGATAACAGGAATATCAAGAAAGATGCGCAAACGTTGCCCTCAATGCATTGTTTGTCTCCCCTCTTTTTTTAAATTTAATTTGTGACTTTTATAAAGATTGTTGGTGTTGATCCACAAGGATCAGTATTGTCTTCTGGGACTCATGGAAAAGAAGAAAATAGTCATCATGAAAGATATCAAGTAGAAGGGATTGGTTACCAATTTGTGCCTTCTGTTCTTGATATGAATGATGTTGATCGATGGGTGGGGATTTTAATTATTTGAATGGAATGGAGAGATTTCTCCCTTGTATCGTTCACAAAGCTCAAACAATACCCATAACTACATATTAGAGTTCAAACCCAAATAGGGGCCTGGTTTTCTAGCTTTAATCCGGAAACTGGGCCCAAGATTTGAAACGTTCAACCTCTAAACACTTATTTTTCGTGCTCTTAGGCTATATTTCTCAAATTTCCACCTTTGAGTAGGGCAATTAAACAAATCATCGTCCCAATAACTTTAATTGCCAGTAACCACCTGTTTCCATAAAGTAACTAGGTTCCCTTGTTCCCCTTCCTCAAATAAAGGTAGACCTCAAAAAAAGTCCCTAAATACTGCCAAAATCTGTTAAACTCTATTTATTATAAGGAGAAAACAGAAGACTCCGAAACATTCCAAATGGCCAGAGAATTACACTTAAAAGAAGGAATTTTGTGTGGAGGTTCTTCTGGTGCTATACTTGTTGGTGCTCTACGTGCAGCTAAGCAATTAAAGAAGGGGCAGAATTGTGTTTTTCTTTTGCCGGATGGGGCTAGAAATTATTTAAATAAATTTCTTAGTGATGAATGGATGGTGAGGAATTTTAATTTTAATTTGAATTTTTGACTTATCCCATTGATGGGACTGGCGGGATAACTGAAAGTTTGTAATAGGATTTGTGGGAAATGACACAAAAATGAACTGGATTTTGGAATTTATGAGGGCGAGGGGGATGGAATTATTGGGATAACAGATAGATATATGTCTGGGATAAGATAGAGATTGGGGATATAGGAGATAGTTAAGCTTAAATATTAGAGATGTGCGAGACTCTTGGTCTTGGTCTTGGAACCAAGACTTTTCTTGGTTTTTTTTCGGTCTTGGTCTTGGTCTTGGTCTTGGGGTGTTTGTCTTGGTCTTGTCTTGGTTTTATTTTTTGGTCTTGGTTTTTTGGCCTTTTTGGACCTAGTGCTTGGCCATCCAAAATCCTCAAAATTTTCGCCTGCGGCGCAGAAAATGGAAGAATCTGGCTTCTTGAGCTCCAAAATTCAAAAAATTTTCGCCTGCGGCGCTGAAAATGTGAATTTTTTTGGCCTACGGCCTTCCAAAATTTTCAAAATTTTTGCCTGCGGCGCTGGAAAAGGAAGATTTTTGGCTTCTTTGCTTTCATAATTCCCAAAATTTTCGCCTGCGGCGCTAAATCCCACGGCTATCCCTCTTAATCTTTTGATATCACTAATATCCCGTTAATCCACCCAAACCCTCTGAAATAATAACCTATTTTATTGATTTTCCACAGAATAAATTCCCCGAAATTCTTTGAATTTCGCATAAATTTTTCGAAATTATAGATAATTGTGCTGAATTGACTGTGATCGTATCAAAATAACAAAAAATAAACCAAAAATTTGACCTATGGGATTTAAAAATTTGGTCTTGATTTTTGGTCTTGAGTCTTGGAGTTTTGGTCTTGGTCTTGTGTCTTGGTCTTGGAAAAAATTTTGTCTTGGGTCTTGAGTCTTGAGTCTTGGAAAAATTTCGGTCTCGCACATCTCTATTAAATATCATGATAGGATATATTTTAATAAATTGTTGAGAGGTAGGATAGATGGGGGATGTACCACAGACTCTCCTACTTAATCTCCCTATTAGTTCCAAATGACACATGGGATATGTGGGATAAATTGGAGATTTGAACTAGTTAGCTTGCCTAAGTACAAAGCGGCGAGAATTCTAAATACTTTAGTAAAACTGATAAAATATTTTTAGTTCTTTTTTAATTTTTTTAAAAAGCTTTCCAACGACTACATGCCTGAACCTCCACCACAAAAACCGCTCTACCCAAAAACTACTTTTTCTATACCAGAAGTATATAATCCAGAAAGTAAAGCAACAGAATCGTTCCAGATAGTCCCAAAACCTTGGAAATCAAATCCTTTCATGTAAATTGATTTTGAAATTTTATCTTCAAAAATTCTTCCCTTTTTAGCCCTCTAAAACGTTGCCGTTTAATTAAAAACATTTCTGAAGCTATTGGAAACACCCCAATTGTTAAACTTTTTAAATTACCAAAAAAGTTTGGAATTGAAGCAGAGATTTTAGTTAAATGTGAATTTTTAAATGCTGGAGGTTCTGTTAAGGATAGGATTGCTAAAAAGATGATTGAGATGGCGGAAGCTGATGGAAAATTAAAAGCTGGTTATAGTACTGTTATTGAACCGACATCTGGTAATTTTTTGATTTTTGGAAATTTTGAGGCTTATTTAAAGGAGGTTAAAAATGGTTTTATAATAAAAGGTGGCGGTGAGAATCTATTAGGATTGTAAAATGTTTTAAAAGGGAAATGAAGGAGATGGTGTATTCTGGTCTGGATACGGGCCAAGGCGGGTTTTTGATTATGGGTCTTCGAATATCCTTACTTCCGAATCCGATGTCCTTACTTTTCCGGAGCTGTAATCCCTCGATTATAGATAGTAAGGAATTTTTCGGGATAAATCGAATCCCCTCAGGCCCTTTTTCTACCTAGTTCAAATGTTGACTGATCTCCACCCTTATTAATCTCTCAAATTTATTTTTTTTTCTCAATCAGGAAATACCGGAATAGGTCTAGCTTTAATGTGTGCCATTCGTGGATACCGCTGCATTATTGTAATGCCCGAAAAGATGAGTTTAGAAAAAGAAGTTATTCTTCGCTCTTTGGGGGCAGAAATTGTTAGAACGCCTACTGAGAAAGGTCATGCAGATGCTGATTCCCATATTGGTGTTGCTTTACGTCTTCAAAAAGAAATACCTGGAGCTATCATTCTTGATCAGGTAGAGGAATTAAAAATTGGGGGTCTGACTATTCTTCGAATAGCCCCTTCATCTTATAGTCGTGGTTCTCTCTCCTAGGTAGAAGTTTTTGGTCTCCAAATTCAGTCTAAAATCCTTCCCTTCTTGTCCCCATGTCCATACAATCCTAGCCACGCTTCTTGATTATTCCTCAACCTTGTTCATTCCCTTCCTTCCCAATTCCCTTACACTATGGCCTTACCAGATCGCAGGCACATACAATCCCCAATCCTTCATCTCATAATTTAAACTATATCATAATTTAAACAGTATCGAAACGAAGGAAATCCTTTTGCTCATTATGAAGGAACAGCAGAAGAGATTCTTTGGGCATGTGACGGGAAATTGGATGCTTTAGTTATTGGAACAGGTACAGGAGGTACTTTAAGTGGAGTGGCTAAAAGAGTGAAGGAAGTTGTGCCGGAATGCAAAGTGAGAGGAAATTTTTCAAATTATATTTTTAATTTCCATTAAAGATTATTGCTGTTGATCCGGATGGTTCTATTCTTGCCAATCCAGCATGTAAAGAGACTAAAGCTTATGATGTGGAGGGTATTGGATATGGTATGAAAATAAAGGCGCTGGTCTAGTTTATGCATCCAATGAACTTTTATGAGTCCAATAAAAAGTTTATGAGTCCAATCAACAAAAAATTGGATTTTTCTTAGTATTGCAAAGTTGGGGTATGGTTCCGAAGCATTTCTTCATGTTCGGGACCTAAGCCCACTGTGTTTGGGACCATTCCTTGCCCTATACCTCGAAATTTCGGAAAGTTATAATTGTTTTTGCGAAATTTTTAAAAATTGGCTATAACTTCCCGAAATTTCAAGAGATAGGGCAAGGAACGGTCCCAGACCCAGTGGGCTTAGGTCTCGAACATGAAGAAATGCTTCGGAACCATACCCCAACTTTGCAATACTAAGAAAAATCCAATTGTTTTTTGATTGGACTCATAACGTTTCATTTGGCGCATAAACTAGACCAGCGCCAAAATAAATGTAGAAATCGGGTTCAATCTCATCCTCTGAAGAAAGGATCTTTAAGCTGCTAAATTAAATCCCCTACGTCAATGATGGGTTCTGAATACCGGGACTGATATCTTCTAAGCATTCTTTATCTCAATTCCTCTATGCCAATATTTCCTGTCTCCTAACTGCCCTACTTTCTCTCCCAACAATGATTGAACCCTTAAACAAAGAGTCAGAAAGTCTTATCTCTCATAATTTTATAGATTTCGTCCCAGCGGTGCTAGACCGTTCTTTAGTTGATTATTGGGTAAAAAGCAAAGATGCGGCTTCTTTCTATATTGCTCGTGAACTTATTAAAGAGGAAGGAATTTTGTGTGGAGGGTCTGCTGGATCTAATGTTTTGGCAGCTATGGGGATTGCTAAAATGCTTGGGCCAACTTGCCGTCGTGTTGTGACTATTGCTCCAGACAGTATTAGGAATTATATGTTAGTGGTTTTTTGAAGAAAAGTACAAATATGAGGCTTGGAATGAATGAAAGTCCTTTCCCCTCAGTTCCCTAGGTGAAGGAATAAACGCCCCCCCCTTGCCGGGTAAACCCCTCTCTCCGTGTTGAAATTGTTTTCCTTTCCTCTCTTGATCTTTTAAAACTCCCATCCCTTGTTTAATTTCAGTACTTAATATCTGTCCATTTAATTCTTTCAACTTAATTTAAATTTTCTTAGGTCAAAATTCTTAGACGATGAATGGCTGAATGCTAAAGGACACATTTCTACTGAAAACTTTGATTTGACAGAAAATTTTGTTATTGAAAAAGGATCTAATTAAGGAATACAGATAAGATTATAATTGAGACTGAGAGATAATAGTAAAAGAGAATTAAATTTAAAATAATTAGAGTGATGAAATAAATTAATTAATTAGTATCCCAGAGATATGGGAGGTACTTGAATTAACTGATATCTTTTAAACAGGAGCTCTCCTGGCCCTACACAATAATACCCTCACTTTGCTTAGTTTAACAAAAGCAACATTTTAATTATAATTTAATTCTCTTCACAAAAATATTGGCTGTACTTTAGCCGGTGGCCCACTCAGAAACGGGTCAAAATATATACCATTCGATTCGTCTCGGCGAGCTGAGTCGAATGGTACCATTCTTTTTTTGCGGAAATTCCTATGAGCCGAGATATAGATACTTAAATATCGAAAAACCATAGGGGGACCAAGCACTTATTTGGGGTGAAAAATTCGAATATGCAAATAATAGCTCATTCGAAAGAGCTCGTCGAGCTGAGTCGATTGACACCAAAATCAACGAAATCCGACTTGATTTGACAAAGTTATGAGCATTTGTTTTAGCTCCTTACCTATGGCATCTGTGGAGATTTTTGCTGCTACGGAGGCCTCAAATACGTCCAAAGCAAGGGAGATAGGAATAGGGTTATGTTACGAGCCCAGACCCAGCGCCCGTAGACTCCCCGCGAGGCGCGTGCCGCAAAACCCCGCGCGAAGCGCGGGGTTTTGCACAAGCGCCTCGCCGACGCCCCATAGGTTTATGTTGCTGTTTTTTGTGTTGTAACTTTGTCTAAACTTGTTTAATCCCGGTGATTTTGGTGTCATTCGACTCAGCTTGTTGAGCTCTTTCAAATGAGCTATAAAATGGTTAAAAAATTTTAATTCCAAAAATCACCCCTTTGGATTAACAGTTTTCAGAGGCCTATATCTCGGTCCAATCAAGTCGGATTTCGTTGATTTTGGTATCAATCGACTCAGCTCGACGAGCTCTTTCGAATGAGCTATTATTTGCATATTCGAATTTTTCACAC